TGTGCACCTTCTCTTCCCCAGCTCTTGGGGAAGAGCAATTAAGGCTGTGCAAAACTTGCCTCCCTGCCACCCTTGTGTGTGTTTTTGGAGAGCTGGCACAGAGTGTGAGTGAGCTGCAGCTTCAACCCTCATGGGGAAAGGGGCATAAATCAGAGCTGGCTGGTGGCTTTACTCTGTAAAAACAAACAAACAAAAAAAAACCAAAAAGGAATCTTGGGGGTGCAGATGACCCCGGTGTAAAGGCAAAGCAAATAAAATTTGAAATTACACCTTGAAAAATTGAACATGAAGAATATTTGATTTCATTAACGTCAATTTAGGTGATGGAGCAGCGCCAGAGGAGTTGAGATGTTGCGATTGAATATACTCAGTGAGAACCTCCAAAAGAAACATCTCCAAAATAAGGCCTGATTTCCTATTGGGGAAGCAGGATGCTATTTTTTCATTCAGTCTGGACAACATCACCACTTACCATTTTTGTAGCCCTGGAGTGCATCCAGTGATTGGTGTTTCCCCACCGTCATCCCACAGGAAAGCAGCAGAGCCAAAAATATTTGAAGTGCCTTTGCAGGGCGGGCGAGCAAAGCTGGGCTGGGGCAGTGGGGAGGTGTCACCAGTGCTTGGGATGAGTCCAGGTGTCACCCCTGTCCCTTCCTTCCCCAACACAGCCAGGCTAAGGTCATCCACCAGCCGCCAGGCGTGGAGCCAGGGCACTGAGAGCTTCCCATCACACAAGTGATGCTGCCGGTGGGCTAATGCACACCTTGGCAGGGTCCATCACCAGGAGTTTATTTATGTCAACAAGGTTTAAAAGCCATCGAGGGCGCCTGGAGCATTACAGACAATTTACACTGGAAAAGGAATGAGCTTTTCTCTTCCAAAGCCGACATCCTTGCATTGGTGTGGCAGGAGATAAAGTGCTCACAGAAAATGAAAATACCAGAGGGGGGGTTCTGGGGTCTGGTGTGGTCTGTGGACATCATAAGCATTCCACAGGCAAGAAATGGGCTGGGAAAGGGCTAGGAAGCCGTGACAGAAGGCTGAGCTCAAGGACAATGAATAGGCCAGAATATGAAGCTACTGCAGTGTCTTCAGTGCCTGCAGGGAGATCACGAACCTGATAGCCTTTGTTTTTTTCATGGCTGGGCTTCACAAGCGAAGATTTGGGGAGGGTTCTATCCACATTTGTTGCAAGCACGTTGGTGGCTGAAAAGGCCAATGCGAGATAGACAAGTCTGGTTGCAAAAGGCACAGCAGAAAGACTCCTTAGGTGGTATATTCTGCAAGACATGATTCTTTCTGCATTGTCTTTTCTCCTCAAGGGTGATCCTGCGTGTGTTCTCAAAAGAAGCAGCAGCGTTAAAGATAGTGTGTCTCCAGACCTCCTGGCTGGAGGCCAGAGTAGACCAGTTATGTGCATATTTTGTGTAAAAGACACAGCAAATTTTGTGAAAAGAAGTTTTTTCTGATAACATGGACCTGGGGGCTTGGAGAAAGCACTGCAAAATCAAAGCAGCCACAGTGGTTCAAAGCAATAACCCACCAAGCCCAGAGTCCTGTTTCCAGAAACCCAGAAGAATGACCAGTGCTGTGCTTGGGTGTGAAGCTCCTCAGCTCAGCCTCACACCATGCACAGCCCCCCTTTCAGGATGAGAGACCCAGGGACAGCAGGAGACTCACCCACTTTGCCCTTTCTGTGCCAGCAGTGACCTCCATCCCGTCTCCCTGCCCTTGCTGCCCAACCCCTAGTTACTCCTCACACGGAGCCACAGCACTGATCACCCACCATTTCAAGATGCTGAGACCCAAACCCCCTTCTGCACATGCCAGGAGCACATGCCGTGCCAGGAGACACTGCGACCTCCTCCCAGGGTGGGGAATGAACCAACACCCCCGAGGTCTCTCACAAGAGCTAAAGCAGTTTGGTCTTGCATTGTGCAGAGGGTAGGGCTCAAGGATCCATGAGGTAACATGTTTAGACAGGCTTGGCTACGGAGGCCTGTTGTCCTCTCCACATAGCCACTGAAGAGTACATCAGCCTAAGAAGATTCAAACTGTAAAAGAAATAAAAATAAGCTTTAAGCACAACATCATGATTGCAGTGAGGACACACCTAGATTCTGCAAACTAACACGGCAATTTTAGAATCATAGAACCACAGAACCATTTGGGTTGGAAAGTACCCTTTAGATTGAGTCCAGCCATTCCACCAGCGCTGCTAAGTCCACCAGTAACCCATGACCCCAAGCACCACATCTGCACGGCTTTTAAATCCCTTCAGGGATGGGGACTCCACCACTGCCCTGGGCAGATGTGCCAGGGCTTGACAAGCCTTTCTGTGAAGAAATTTCTCCTAATATTCAATTTAAACCCACTTCCTCCCGTCCTGTCCCTTGTTCCCTGGGAGCAGAGCCCGACCCCCACCTGGCTCCACCCTCCCACCAGGGAGCTGTAGGGAGTGAGAAGGTCCCTCCTTTTCTCCAGACTGATCTCCCCCAGCTGCTCCTCGTCAGACTTGTGCTCCAGACCCTTCCCTGGCTCCGTTCCCTTCTCTGGACATGCTGCAGCACCTCAGTGTCTTACTCGTGCCATGCTGAAGCCACAGTGCCACCTGCCCCGAATCCTCTGCCACCATCCCAGCAGTGAGGGTGGCAGCTCCCGTCGCTGTGCCAGCCCCACTAGTGGCACAGCTCCTCTCCAAACAAGATTTGACATGTCATTTAAGAAAATGCAATCTTTTTAAAGACTTTAGCTTTGAAGTGGATGCTGTGAAGGTCTGACTTAGCTGACAGCTACACAAACAGGCAAGACAGCACAGTCGCCTGATGGACACAGCCCTGCAAGCAAAGGGATGTGCTCTGCCCCAAAAACAAGTGAGAATGGACCAGTCTGGGATGTGAAAACGTGCTCTGCAAGTCTTAGGCAAGGCAGGACGAGAAAGCAGGTCTTCCCTTTCCTGCTCAGCCCTTCATTCCCTACAAGAGACTGCTGCTTCATAGCCCACGTCTGCCCAAATTCTTCCCTTGCAAGGATTTACTGGTCCATACATTTATATATTTTCCATACCTATTTAAATTCTGTTTGTTGTTTCTGAGGTAGACAACAAACTCTTAAAAATGCAGATCCCAAGTTTTAGTTGCATATGTTTTTGAGGAACAGCCACCAAAAACTCAAGGCAAATTAATACCATCAGCCAACCCTGAGAACATGAAGCACAGCTTACACATAAGTTGTTCAGCTTGTCTTAAGAGAGAACTTTATAAAGATGCCATACATGAAGATGAACAGATCAGTGTTTTTAATTGTCTTTTGGAAGTAAAATCAAGTCAGAGTGAAGCAGGGAGAAATCAAAGGATGTGTTCGTGTTTATTTAAAACTCAATGGCATCTTTTTTGTTGGGGAATTTACTTTTTCTTTTAATTTGCATTTTAAATTGCATTGTGATAGAAAGGTAAATGATGATCTATCAATCTTGGGTCCTCCCTGCCCCTGAAAAAAACCTCACCCAAGAATGTTGTGTTTTTCTGCATGTACTCCCCGAGGATTTTGAGGACGGGGAGGGATAATTTTGGTACATCTAATTCAGGCAATCGAATTTTACTCCCTGCACCCATCAAATGATTTAAGCTTGCTTTCCCTCCCTGGAGGTTGGTGCACCCAGGGCACAAGAGCTGGGAAGGCAGCCGGGGTGAGGATTTCGGGTGAGTCTGAGGAAGAGGTTTTATTGAGGCTGGTAAATCATCCACAGGCTGTCACAGAGGCCTGGGGCTGCTCAATGCCCTCCAGGGGGGAAAAAGGTCCATGGCAATTATATTTCCTAAATTGACTTTTAGCTGACACAATAGCTGAACAATATTCCTTAGTAGAAATGTCAAAATTCAGAAAAAAATAATCATTTTGCCCAAGTGACATAGAATCCTGGAAAAGTTTGGGCTGAAAGGGATCTTAAAGCCCATCTCATCCACCTCCTGCCATGGGCAGGGACACCTTCCACTAGCCCAGGTTGCTCCAAGACCCGTCCAACCTGGCCTTGGACACTTCCAGGGATGAGGCAGCCACAGCTTCTCTGGGCAACCTGTGCCAGGGCCTCCCCATCCTCTGAGTAAAAAACTTCTTCTGCGTATCTAATCTAAACTGACTCTCTTTAGATTTAAAACCATCTCTCCTTGCTCTATTGCTACAGGCCCTAATAAAAAGTTTGTCCCCAAGACAACCCAACCTTCCAACCCTGCTCACCCCCCTCACTTCCGTCCATGTATGAGTGCTCCTCATCCATCCCAAGCTGTTGCAAGGGAGCTCTAAAATAATTTCAGAGCTGAATTTTTGCCCTGAAGCAGAGCAGAAGGGAGGGCATGGGAGCTGAAGAGAGGCACCACTGGGGCTGGGTGCAGGTGGAGAGGGGGAGGAAGGCTCCCTGAAACTGCCTCCCCACTGCTGCTGCACCTTCAGGCAGGACTTCTCCGCATCCCCTGGGGAAGTGCCAGCCCCTGAGCAGGGTGGCTGAAGGATATGATGCACAGTGACATCTTGGGATGGCTGACAGATCCCAAAAACACCTCAGTTTCAGAAATGTTCTTTTTTGTTGCAAATGCAAAATAATTTACAGATCCTTTGCTTGGGAAAAAAAAAGCTCTTTGTAATGACTTTCTAATGACTCATCAATCTTATCTCCCTTTTTGCTTTTACCTTTCCTATCTTCTTTTTTCTTGCTACTGTCTCAATAGCTGGGGTGGGCACGTAGGAGATCATGTGAATTTAGCAACCCTTCCCCAGTATTTTTATCCTCAAATGTCACCATTTGGAAATACCAGCCTGAGAATGGGCATCAGGCTGGAGGGACTCTGGCAAGTCTGTCGGACGTGGGCAGCACATGGTGTTGGCACAGGCCAGGAGCGGTGTAAGAACCGTGAGGCTGCTGAGGGACCAACTGGGGCATGGCTGGTGGGTGCCATGGTGTTGCAGCGCTCAGTGGGTCCAGCTAAACCCCCCTGCACCTTTTTCCTTGTCCTCCCCCTGCAGAGCGAGCCCGGGATTACCTGCACAAGACCGGACGCTTCATCGTCATCGGTGGCATCGTCTCGCCCGTGCATGACTCCTATGGGAAGACGGTGGGTTGTCCCCATTTTCCCTCTCTGCCTCCTGTGTGCAATGGTAGCTCTGAAACCAGGGATGAGCACTGGGCAGCACTGCCTGACCCATGGTCCCTTCCTGTTCATCTTCTGCCTGGGGCAGTTCCTGACCATGGGAAAGTCTCGGAGAGGAGGGAAAGGATGAAACCACTCACTCTTTGGATAAAAGCCACAGCAAGGCCCTACAACCAACCAAAGTACTAGACAGCAAAGAGAAATGTTCGCACCCAAAACAGTGGTGGCCATCTTGCTGGGTAGTTTTTTGGTTTTGTTTTAATTATTTCAAAGTCAATTTTATTTATTTTTTTTTTTGCTGGGATGGAAACTATGAAAACGGTAGCCTTTAGAAGCACTTTCCAAATTAGGAGTGGAGAGTTTCCTCCTCTCCTGAAAGTTGGAGAAATTTAACCAAGAAACCACCACCCCAGCTCTGGCTCTGCTGCAGCATGGAGCTGGGAGTGGTGGTGCTGAGCAAATCTCACCTCCTGGTGCGTGGTCAGGGCTGACGCCCAGCAGGAACTCCTCCCTTCCAGCAAACAGGAGCTTAAATAAATGTTTATGGGCAGGAATGAATCCTTCTGGCCTGTCTCACCTGAGTGAGCCTGATGTTCTGCCCCAGGAAAGTTTGCAAGCTCAGGCTGGCCAGGGTATGATGTAACCATTCCTCCTCCACCCTCTTTTGCAGGGTCTGGTCTCGAGCCGGCACCGCCTGACCATGTGCCAGCTGGCTGTCCAGTCCTCTGACTGGATCAGGTGAGTGGCAGAGCCCACCCTGCTGTGGCATCAGCAGCCTGGCAGCCCTTGCCCCTTCCCCGCACCGTGGTGGCAAAGGCCTGTGTGCAAAGCAGAGATGCCACCAGCTGGTAGAGCTCCAGGACAGACTTTCTCCTCTCCGAGCCCAAGCTTGATTAAAAACCAAAGACCTTCCTCTCCCAGTCCAGCAGAGAACAGATGCAGATGGTTAGATCACCCTTCAAGGGAGCTCTGGGGATTCAGGAGGTCTTGCAAGCCCCCTGCTCAGCCTGTGGTGTCTGGGCAAGGCTCAAAGTCACTCAGCCCACCCCAGTTTTGTGCTGTGGCACCTTCCTTTTCCACACCTGCAGCACCAGCCCACAGACTCTCACCTTCCCAGCATCACCACATGGCATCTGGTGGCTGAGGTGGGACCAGAAACACCTCGGGCTGCCCTCAGAAACAGGGTTGTGACATGTGTAGTCACATCCAATCCCAATGAAAGCTGGTTAGTTGGGTACCAAGAGCGGAAAGGTACCCTGGCACATGTTCAGGTCTCCAGAGCTGTTAGGAAGGGCTGGGTGGAAGGACTGGAGGAAGGACATGGTCCATGGCACACCTGTGGAGTGATGGTAGCTGCTTGCGGCACTGCTGGCCAGCCCGGTGGGGAGGAGGCGGCACGGCCAGGAGGTCCAGTGGCCATCGGCCAACGCTGTTGCCTTGCTGTGTTCCCTCAGGGTGGACCCCTGGGAGTGCTACCAGGACACCTGGCAGACCACCTGCAGCGTGCTGGAGCACCACCGTGACCTGATGAAGGTGAGGCAGTCCCCGCACCGGGGGTGCACCCGGGGGTGAGGGCATGGGGAGGGTGCAGGAATGGGGTTGCTCTTCCCCCAGTGTGGGGACAACTAAGACACGTCTGAGACAGGATGAGAAGACTTGCAGGAACATCTGTGAGATCCTGACCTGGAAGAGGTGCAAGATTCCTTGCCACAGCCACTTTGAGCTCCTTGCTCTGATGTTGGAAGGAAATTGGGCCCTCCAGCTGGAGCCAGCAGCCATCCTGGACCCAGGAACACCAGGAGGGGAGCAGGGGTGAAGGCAGAGAGAAGGCAGGGATGCGCACAAGCCAAATCATTATTGCAGCCTACTGGTTCCTCCCAGAGGGGAAGGCGAGGTGGATGGGCCTTCCCACTCACCAGCTGAGCCAAAACTGCTGTATGAACTTGATGGAGAAACTCGGTGGGAAAATTCAGCACCTGGGAAGTCTCTGGGAGCACAAACCCCAGGAGGGTCCCTCCAAAACCCAGGCAGGTCTGAGAGCCATGGGAAAAGGTGGCTGCCCTCTGGTGACTGCAGGGAAGCAGGGCTGCTGGCACACTTGGATACAGCAAGAAAACCAAAGATGGGAAATGGATGAAAGAGCATCACACAAAGTTACAGGCAGCCCAGACAGGATTAACTAGCCCAGCATTAACTAGCCCAGCAGAATGTGCGGTGCATCCAAGGACCATGATGCTGAAGCTGAGGAGTCGCCGGCCATGCTTTCCTTCTCCTGCAGGGACTGGGAGGGAGAAGAGAACATGTTTGCTCCTTGCCAGCCTCATGGCTCCACACAAAAAGTTAGCACTACCTTAATCACAAGTCATTATCCACAGGGTCCTGCTGGCCTCGGGCTCATGGGACTGGGGATCCTAAAGCGAGCTTGGACATACTTGTCACTGAAGATGACCTTGAGCCAAGGGTGGGGAGGCTTGATATGGGGACAAAAATGTTTTGGGAGGTTGCTGGGGTGAAGATGCTCTTCCAGCTACACTTCTCCCTCGTTGCAGAGAGTGACTGGATGCATCCTCTCCAATGTCAACACGCCCTCCATCACCCCTGTGATTGGCCAGCCCCAGAATGAGTCCTCGCAGAACATCTACCAGAATAACAACAACGTCTCCAACAAGCCCACTGCAGGTAGGTGGCATCAGAGTAGGGAAGAGGGGGATTACTACTGACCCCTTACCTCCCAGCCAGGGCTGCCAAGCATTAGGAACAGTGCTCCATCACCTTGTCTTTGGACAGATGGCTCATCTGGCTCCATGCACCAAGCCCAGGGTGGGGTGGGGGTGCAATGGAGAAGTTACCATCCAGCACAGCAAGGGGAGCCAAGAACAGCATAAAATGGCTGTAAAATCTCACTGGGCTTCAGCTGGATGATGTCCAGGCAGGGAGAGCAGCTAAAGGAAAAGGTACCTGATGCTCACAGGGTGCATGCAAGGGAAGAACTGGCAGGAGAGATGGTGGAGCTGGATCCCCTATGAACCAGTGGGCTATGGGACATGAAAGTATTAGCTAGGGAGAAGTGGGAGCATTACTTAGATCCCATAGAAATGGATGTCTTGTGATTTTCTTAGTGATTTTAGCTGTCCAACTGGTCTTTTCAAGGCACAGGGTAACACTCTGGGGAGTTAAGACCAAGAAAGGAGGTGGCGGGGAGGTGCTGGGAGCAGTTCCTGCACAGAAGCATCTTGCAGGACCAGGGTGGCTGAAGAGCTTGTACGGGTTAATTGCACCACCTCTCTCCCATTAATTTTCCTTCACTTTTAGCAAAGATCCTGGGGAAGGTGGGAGAAAGCCTGAGCCGGATTTGCTGTGTTCGCCCGCCCATGGAACGCTTCACGTTTGTGGGTATGTAGAGGAAAGGTCCAGTGTCAGTCCAGCCCCCAGCCCTCCTCCCAGCCCCCTGTGCTAGGCCAGGCACCAGCACCTCTCTTTTTCTTCCCTTTCTCAGATGAAAATGCCAACCTGGGGACAGTGATGCGATATGAGGAGATTGGTGAGTGCACAGCCCCCCAGCTCCCCTGGGCCAGCGCCATGTGGCTCGGGAGCTACTGGACAAAAGCAAGCTCACACACAGCCTGGCACTACAGCCATCCCAGCACCTACACCACACAGAGCCCAGAGGCTTTGGCTACCTGGAAATGCTGAACAGGGAGGCACCCTCCCATGTAGCCATCTCTTCCCACTCCTCTGAGTGGGTTTATGTCTTTTCTCTGGCAGCTGTGCAAATAAATAAATCTTTAGGGGCCTGTCAGAGCAGAAAGCTCCTTCCCATGCCACAACTTTCTTGCTGAGCTGCGAAGCCAACCCCGAAGTTATGGGGCTGGTGCCTGCTCAGCCCCATGTGCTCACACCTGTGAGCTTCTCTCCTTTTCTTCAGAGCTTCGCATCTTACTGCTCTGTGGCAGCGACCTGCTGGAGTCCTTCTGCATCCCTGGTCTCTGGAACGAGGCGGATGTGAGTCACCACTGCTGGGCATCCCTCCATGCTCCTCTTCCCCAGGCTCCCTTCCTCCTCCTCCTCTGCTTCCCACCCCCCATGCTCTTGGGAGCCACTCAGGTCTCTTGGGATGACAGGAGCTGTGCCCACCGGCCCCACTGCCTCCTCCTTCCCAACTCTGACCCTCACCTCCCCTACACACTTCCACAGGGCTTCCACAGACTCAAGCCCTGCTCCCACTCACTGCCCATGCAGAGGATGTAATCTGGGATGCAGGGTGAGCCCATCCCAAGGCTGTGCTTCCACTCCTTGTCCCTCAGAAGGAGGCAGAATCAAGTAGATGCCAATCCCAGCAGAGTGAGGTGCGCAGGTAGGAAGAAAGATCTTTACAGAAGTTGCCCAGACATTAGAAATTAAACACAATTAGAGCCAAATCAACAGCTTTTACTGTTGGTCCTTGCCTGAAGAAGCCACATTATCATGGGAGAACACCAGCCCTGGAGAGAGGATGGGTTAATGACCCACATGCTGCTCCAGAGCAGTGCTGGCTATGGGGTCTCCCCCAGCTCTTCACTGAGATCAGGCAGTCAGCACAAACCTCCCTCCTTGAACCTCTCAACCATTTCTAAATTCAGTTACCACATCTTCAGTCTTAAGTTTTGTAAAGCAATTAGGTGGCAGGTATCTCCTCTGAAAGGCTTAAAAAGCTGAGATGAGGCAAGTCCTGAAGCCCAGCACAAAGGATGCAAAAATGTCCTCCTTAGGCAACCTCTTCTGCTGCCACCTCCTTCTACCATGAGTTCTCCTCAAAGTCTGAATTCATCACCCAGTAATAGGATTTAACCCCATGCCTTTCATTTCATCCACTGCAAACCACTTGCCTTGATAATTCTGTTTTTCTGCCAAAGGCTGCTGACATATCCCCAAACTCACTTTCCATCTCCATCCAGACCATGGCCCAGCTTTCACAGAGTAAGGGGGGTTGGCAGACAGTGGCAGGTTTTGTGTGGGGTGATTATAAAGCTCTCCACACTCTGGGTTGTTCCTAGATGGAGGTGATCGTCGGGGAGTTCGGGATTGTGGTGGTGCCCCGCGATGGAGCAGATCCCGACCGGATCATGAACCACTCCTCCATCCTCCGCAAGTACAAAGTGAGTGGATGCACACATGGCCAGGGAAGGCTGTGAGAGGACCCACAGCCTCTCTCTACCCAGGAGAGCACTTCTGCCACAGGGCACAAAATGTCTCGGGGTCAAATGCTCTCAGCGGTTGGGTGGGATGAGCCACCATGCAGCCACCTCCCAAGGCCAGCAGGGTGGGGAGGCTGGTGGGGCAGACACCCGCTTTTAAGCCATCCCTTCACTCCTCTTTCCCTCCTTCCCCTGCAGAACAACATCCTGGTGGTGAAGGATGACTCAAACCACCCCATGTCGGTCGTCAGCTCCACCAAAAGCAGGTGGGTGATGCAGGGGGACTGGGGGAAGAGCAGGGTGCCCCCAGCCAGCCCCTCCATTGTCCTCACATGGACATCCAAGTGGGCTCTGATCCCTTTCTCTCCCCCCGTGCCCCCAGACTGGCCCTGCAGCACGGGGATGGACACGTTGTGGATTACCTCTGCCAGCCTGTCATCGACTACATCCTCAAGAGCCAGCTGTACATCAACGCCTCTGGCTAAGAGCCAGAGGCCTTGCAGCGAGACAGCCCTCGTGTCCCGCCTACCTGCAGCTCTCCATCACTCTTTTTTCTCTCTCTCAGTCCGTGTCTCCATCTCTCTCCCCATCCCATGGCCTCCTACCCGTGTCTGCCTCTCACCCCCGGCACCAACACTCCATTGTGCAGCAATGTCCAGGGAACAGTTTGGTCTCTTTTTTGGGGTACTGCCCTGCCCTGCACATGTGGGGAGGGAGGAGGAACCGGTACAAGAGCAATGTGCTCGGTGTGCTCAAGGGGAGGCTGCCCCGGCACCCCCTCCCAGCATGTCCCTGGGAAAAGGCCCCCTAGTCCGTCCTCCCAGCATGCTCAGAGCAGGGGCTACCTCTTCTGCATCATCTTACAGAACTTAAGCTCAATAAATCTAGGTGCATTTTTTTTTATTCAATACTTTTAGTGCGAACCCTTTGAGCCTCTCGGCCCAGTGACCAACCAAACCCTGGTTGGCACCGGCTTGGTGCCTCATGGCACGTGAGCCTCCCAGACCGGCAGTAGGACAGCCCAGCTAACCAAATCCTCCTTCTGGTCCTGAAAAATCATGGAGAAGGGAGCAGAGGCCTTGGCAATCATCGCTGCCAAAGCATTGCAGGGAGAATGTCATGTCTCACCTTCCCTTGGCTGCAAGAACTCAAGCCACTCTCTGGGTGACTTGAGTTGGGGTGATGTTCTACTCCAACCCATAGCACCTAGAAAGGGATCTGCCACTTATGGAGCCGAGAAATGAGGTAGAAAGAAGCAGGTAGTGAGCCAAAACCTCTGGTGACAATTTTCCCCAAAGCTGGTTGGGTCCATCACCATCCTCTGGCCTTCAGATCACTATTTCTGTCTATAAACTTCCCCCTTCTCCCACCTCTCTGACTCTCTTCCTCTTCTTGAAGAGTTCATTAAATGCATGATACTTTCCCCCTCCCAAACCAGCTGTGGCTACTTCGCACATCCCTCGGGACATGCCAGGCTCCTGCTCTCCCACCTGTGACGTGCCTCCAGATGCTGGGGATGGAGCCTGGTGGAGACGTGCCAGGGCAGGTAACAGGGAGCAATTACTGAAGCCTTGTGGAGAGGAGGGTTGCTGGAGCAGGCTCGTGTCCTGCTGAGCATCTCTAGGGTGCAAGGACCCTGCACAGCTCCTGGGGAAGGTCAGAGCCACAAGGAGGAAGGTTTATCCCTCACCTTCTGTTCTCCCTTTGCTCCATCTAACCTTATATTGCTTCAGGTGGAGCCGTACAGTTGCCTGTAGCTGAGAGTCCTCCACGGTGTTTCAAGGAAAGATGTGAAATTTCCTTTACTTCATCCCTTAAAAGTCCACAAAGTAGCTCTCATTGAAGCTTCAATTGGTGAGACTTTGCACTAAATCTGACCTGCTGGGTGCTGCTGGCATCCCTGGAACATGGACAAAACAAGGCAGGCCATGTGTCCTTGCAGCAGGCAGCATTTTAGGAACAGTAGCTGACAACTTCTCAGGAGGACATAGCCCTTCCCAGAAGGGAAATCATGAGGGACAGAGGTGATGTGACTCACCCAAAGGCCCCAGAAGAGGTCTTTCCTTGCCAGGGATTTCCCTCTGCACGGTGAGGTTTGTTCGGGAACTGTTCTAAATTCGGCAGCTGAGTCCCTCAGCAGCAGCTCCGGTGTCTCCAGGTGGTTGCGTACGTATTCCATGGGATGAGGAGATTTGGAGATGCCAAAGCAGAGAGGGTGGCGAGTGTGTGGGGGACTCAGAGAACAGGAATGCCTCTTTTCCAGGGAGGTCTTCAGCCAGCTGGAGCTGGTCAGCACCACCCCACTGAGCTCCCTCAGCTGACGTGCTGGGCGGGTGCCCGTGGTGGGACACCTCATCCATGAGGTAACCAGTAACCAGGTGTTGGACTCCACCCATTGTTGTCACACATTCAGGTTGTCAGTCTCCTCTCCCTCTCCACCCCAACACAGAAGGTATTCCACACAGCAGCCTCCCCTCCTTGCCAGACCTCACCGTGTTTCTCAGCTCCCAGCTGGAGGAGAAGCAGCAGTGGTGGCAACCAGCCTCCAAAACACACCCAGAGAGGCTGAACCTCCTGGGGGGGCAGCGCCTCTTGGAAGGGGCACGAAAGACAGTGGGTTCCCACTGAGGAAAAGTGGGAACTGTTTTACTGGGGAAGTAAAACAAAGGAGATGGAGAAGGAAGGAAGGTGTCATGTCTGAGAGCCACCTCTGATCCTCCCTCCCTCCCTAGGTACGCAGGATGGGACGTGGGGACGCCAGTGCTTCCCACCCCATCATGGTTAGGATGGCATGGCTTAGAGACATAGTGTTGTGGTACAGATGATGAGTATATTCTGTCTGACTAGTCTTACCTGCGCCTTCGTGTATCAGCTCAGCAAAACTCACTGATGGGGGGTGGGATGGGGGGTTTGTAACAGGTCCTTCAGCTCTGGGACCCATTTGGAAAAATGTATTTGGGTGGGTATGGGAAAAAAATAATCATCTGTGATGATCCATGTGACTGCCAGGGAGGTGAGGATTGGGGTTTGCAGGGTGCAGGGGAGGGGTGGGAAGAAGCTTGTGGGTCTTGGTCTTTGAACCTCCACTTTTAAACAGTGCAATTTGCTGAAAGAGAAATGAACTTCAAACGCCCTTTGGGGGAAAAAATAAATAAAGGGGGGAGGGAAAGGGGTTGAAGTTGTCATGCCACCAATTTCACCTTTGTCAAAAGTTTTGGAGCCTTTTTTTTTCTTTTTTTTTTCTGTTGCTATATGAAAAAAACCAGTCATTAACAAAAAAAACTTTATCAGTAAAATGTTTAAATTATGTAATAAACAAAACAAAACAAATCAAAGATGTTACTGGTGTAATTTTAAAACAGCCCCAAGACAGAGTCAGGACAAGGAGAGCAAATGGCTGGGATAACCCATGGCCAAACCCACCTAAATTAGGGAGCCTGAGAAAATAAACCAAGAGGCAAGATCCAGCCAAAAGTATTCATCATTTATTGACCTCCTCCCTTTCAAAAAACCCAACTCATGGAAAAATAGCCAGGTCCATAATACCTGTCCCTATGCAGTACAACAGAAGAAGGAAGACATGCCAGGGGCTAGAGTATATCTCACTTAAATAAAAGTGTAAGGCACACATAATACTTGGTATATCATTAAGTAAAAGCACAGATGCTGCTTTATCAGAGAATCAGAAATAAGGAGGGCTGAGTCCCCATAGAGTCCTCCTCCATCATTCAGGACCTCCTCTTTTACCACCACACAGGCCAGGGGCTTCAGCAGAGCTGACTTACAGCATGTGGTAGCAATTTTTTTCCCCTGCATGACATCTAAAGGAAGGTGGGAGTGGTGTCAAAATGGATCTGGACCCGCAGGAAAGCCACAGGTGGTGAAGGGAGCACTGGGGTCTTTGGCCCCACTGAGCTCTGCTCAGATGTACAATGGGAAACCCCTGTGGAGAACTACCTGAGCCTCTGAGAAACATCCAGCACATCCAATGCAGGAGGGAGGGGGGGGATAGGCAGCACCAAAACAGAGGCTGAAACACATTCAAGACATCCTCAATATTTTTACACCGATCAAATCGGGGTGCAGACACTGCAGTGGGATGGGACAGGGCTCTCAGACACAAGAGCTCACGGCTGCAGACCCCTAGAGAAAGCCCCCATTCCTGCAGAGTCCTGGAGACATCACCCTCCTTCTCCTGACCTCTGGGACACCCAGGAAGCTGCCTGGTACCACAGGGACCAGTCTTGTAAGGAAAGGTTGTGCTTGAGCATGTAAGGAGGTGGTAAGGAGACCTGTGTTTGCCCAGGAGGAGCTTTGACAGGAAAGCCACCCCTCAGGGGCTTTGGGACTTGCGAAGTGTGGGAGAAAGAATAGGGATACTCCTCCTGGCTGAAGGGAGCAGGTAAAGCAGGAAAGACTTTTCATCTCAGGAGCCCCTGCTAGCCTGGGATCTCCTCGTCCTCCATCCAGCACATCACTGTGAGCTCAAAGGCACCTGGAAGCTCTTTTTCCCTCCTCTTTAGTGAACAGTAACCACCTCACTGAGAAGCACTGTGGAAGACCTGCAGCTGTGTGAAAATGGTCATCAGTGCCAGAGCTCTAAGCCACAGCAAAACCACGTCAGCACCACTCCCAGGACGGTGAGGAATGGGCAGGCTGGGAGGAGAATGCCACAGGAAGCATCACCAGTGCCACAGCTCAAAACTCATCTCTCCCATCTGTCTCTTCATGCCGCTCGCTGAGCTACTGATGGTGAGGAAAACCTCACTGAGAACATGAGGAGGAGGTGGTGGTGGTGGCAGTGTCCAAAGTAAGGACAGAGGCTATGTGTGCCAGACCAGGAGAAGGGATCCACAGAGGGTGGAGGGTGGAAAACCTCTCAGTCATGAACTTCAGGCTCCGAACCACGCCAACTCCCAAGGCTGACACCAAGCAATGCCGACTTGCACCTCAGAGAAATGTTGTAGGAACGGGCTGTTCTTCAGCCAGTAGCACCTTCACAAACCAGGCGTCTTCTTCCTCCCACGAGCGAGGGACGGAGCACTTTGGAAAATTAGGGACTCTCCAGGGCCAGCATGACACTGAGCTTCATCTGCCATGCTGAAATTGAGGGTAAGGATCAGTTCAACACCGTCAAACGCAGCCAGTCCTGCCAGATTTGGGGAGGCTCTCCTGCCTTCAGCCTGGCAGGTGCTGCAGCCTTTCCAGAGCTTACTCATGGCAATTCAATGGCTTTTGTGTTGTAGCAGCCTGGAGGAAGACTCCTCTGGACATCCTCCAGGTTCTTTATATCGGCCAGGATCTCATCGATGTTGCTCTCCAGTGTCCGCACCCGGGCCTTCTGCAGCATGGCTGTCTGCTCCAGCTCAGACATCTCAGCCTTCAGCTGGTTGCTTCTGGTTTTGGCTTTGCTAAAATTCATCTCGAGCTGCTTCAGGCCATCCTCATCCACAGCACCAGGCTGGTCTGTGGAACAGAAGGAAAACAAGGAATAAGAAAGCATGGATGGAGGTTGAGGACTACATCTTTCTAGATACTTCATCTCCACCCTGATGCCCAGCCTGTCCACAGGCATCACCTGAGGCCAGCTTCCCACTAAACTCCCTAGACCCCAGTGGGGACCTGTCTCCATCCACATCCCACAGCGGCGTCACAGAACCTACTCATCAGGCGCAGCAGCTCTTCCAGGGCACTCAGCGTCTCCTGCACGGCCACCCCTGCCTGGCCAGCCTTGTCATGGACTCTCTGAGCCTCCTGAGCTGTCTGAAGGAGGAAAGACAGCAGCTGTAAGGTGCAACTGAGCCCAAAAGGCAACAGGGATGGGGACAAGGCAAGGGAGACAGGGACCCACCTCCTGTATCACAGCAGCATCCGCCTCAACCTCCAAGAGCTTCCTCTCAAATTCATCTTCTGCTTCCTTGGCCTCGCGCCGCAGGGCGGCCACTGCCTTCTCCAGGGCGAGGACACCATCGGCCGTCTGGTTGGCTTCCACCTTCAGCTGGGCAATCTCCTGGGGAAGGCAAAGGCACTTTCAGAGGGGCAGAGCATGGCCAAAAGGTGCACTGGAATGCAGAGCTGATGGAAATTCCTTCCATGGGGACCCAAAATGACCGCACACTGGCCTGTATCCTTCATGTTCTCCCACCAGTTGTTTCAGAGAGCTGTTCCCATGGCAATGGCTCAACCCCTCCTGCACACATCAGCAAATCCCTGGGAAATTACAACACACATCTGGGATATGAACCCACAAGCAGCAATTTTGGGACCTCACAAGCCTGCCAGTGGCTCAGGCTGTGGGAGGGGAAAAATCCCCTTGGTCACTGAAAGGCAGCTACAGTGAGATGCCACAAAGATCCTCATGGAAGAAAAGTGCCTGCAGAGATCTGATCTGCACACCCACTGATCTACAGCCAAACTTTGGTATCTGCAGGACCCACTGTAGAGAAACTTTAGCCCAGAAATCAATGCAGCAGGTCCAAAAGTTAACCCATCAGCCCCACCATGAAGTGCTAACCATCTCCTCTTCTTCCACTGTTTTTCCTTCCAAACTCTTTTCTGCCAGCACTAGCACTGGAGCCTGCCCTCACCTCCTGGATCCCTGTGGTGATCTCCTTCGCTTCCCCTGCAGCGCTGCTGGCTGCCTTGGATTCGGAAGCAGCGCTGCCCAGGATTGCTTCGGCTCGGTCTGTCTTCTCCCTGGCACTGGTGACCATGCTGCTGATAATGGGCAGCCTCCTCATGGCATCTTCAGCTTCCCTCCTCTTGTCACCTGCTTGCAGGTTGAACTCTGGAAGAAACACATGTGGGAATGAAGCTGCACTACCTTCGTGAGATCCCATGTGGAAACACAAGGGAAGGGTTTCTAGGATGTTACCCCTGAGGCTCTTCAGGATTTGTTCCACCTGGTAGAAGGTGGCATTGCCAGCGCTCATGGCTTGCAGGGCTGTGCTCTTGGCGAGGTTGGCTCGGGACAGCAGCTGTGTCAGCTTCTGCAACAGGTCAAAGGGACACAGCAGGTGGATGAAGGACAGAGTATGGGAGGATTGGACATGCCCAGAGCAGTCTGGGAGGAGCTGGGCTGGAGGAGAAGACCCATCAGCCTGTTTCCAAATGCCTGCTCTTGCCCCTGAATCAAGGCTACCACAACCTGCTGGCACAGCCTTGTGCTGGGGCTCCTCAACCAGCTCCAGCCATCCTGAGTCATCTTAGCTCTAATCTTTCCAGGAGTAGGTCTTCAACCTGCCTCACATGGAGAAGGTTTGCAGGTAAGACCCTGCACCAGCAGCTCCATGCTCACAGGGAGGTCTCCCACGGGCTTCAGAAGACCAACCCCAAAGCTGCGTTTCCAAGAAAGGGTACAATCCTGCTCCAGGCAGGCAGAGCTACCTTTGACAACCAGACTGGGATAGTGATGGTGCCAAGGGCATCCCACCAAAGCTCCAGCTCCTGGAGGACAACACAGCCCCCCAGCCAATCTCTTACCGCTCTCTCGCCCTCCTGCCTTCTCAGCAGCTCCTTGGTTTCCTCCTCCCAGCGCCCCGTGCGGCTCTGCAGCTGCTTGTACTGGGCCATGTAGGTGTCCACCAGGCTCAGAAGAGCACTGGCATCCTGCTTCAGCCGGGATGCCTCCCCCTGAAACAGAGACATGATGGGGTCCCAGCATCTCCCCAGTGCTCCCCAGGAACCACGGGCAAAAGGGTGAGAAGATGCATATCCGATGGCTCTCCAGTGGGGACAGAGCACTGGGAAGGGCTGAGCTGCTGGCAGAGAGAGCAAAAGGTCCCACAGACACAAAGCCCTCACCTCAAAGGAGCCGATGTCGGTCTCTGTCAGGCGGGACAGGGAGCTGAGGAGCACTAGGCTGCCCTGGTAAGCCTTGTCTGCCTCAGAGGCCATTCCGTCGGCATCAGCCTTCAGGCCTCCAGCCAGCGACTGCAGCTTCTCGTACCTGCAGGGATGCGGGACTGGAAAGCCTGGTACCAGCCAGGCTGCCAACTCCCCACCCCAGCATTAATGCTGCCTTCTACATGGACTTGTTCATGCTCTCCAAGGCCCCATGCAGATTTATCATGCAGGAAAAACCAATTGCAAACACCCCCTGCATCCCAGTCCCTCAGCCAAACAGGGCATCCACTGGCTCCTTACTCCTGCTCCAGGAACCAAAGGTGTTTCACACAGCTGAACCCCCATGGGCTCCACAGTGGCTCTGCTAATCTCTGCCCTACAACTGGATGTTTCTTCCTGCACATCCCAGTTCAGCTTCTTAACTTCCCTTAGGGCTGTTGCTTGCACCCCACTAGTGATGTGTGAAATCCCAGCCCCACCGTGGTGGGCTCTGGAGTGGCACCAGCCCACCACACAGGAATCATGGGGCTAAAGCCACCCTGGGGCTAAACCCAGCCCAGATTTGCAACCACATGGAACAGACTCTCCCCACCAGGAGTCTCTTCACAGACATGCCAGCTTCCCTTAGCTGCTGGCAGTTCCATAGGAGCACCGTGGTCTGTGTAGTGGGAAGCAGACGCTCCACAGACCTGTCAAATCTCCATCTCCACCGCTCAGATGTGCCAGTGACTGAAGTTCCAGCAGTCCCGCCTCCGAACACACACATTTCTGCAGCTCAGATGGGGAGGCAGCAAAGGGGACACAGGTGCTTGGCCACCCCTCTCCCCCCTCCCACATTCCCCCGTGACACACAGGCCAGCACAGCCCCCACTCACCTCCCAAGCAGCCCGAGCAGGGAGCCGGAGGCAGCCGCCTCTCCTCCGGCCGCCGCGCGCAGCAGCTCCAGCGCCTGCCCCGCGTCCTCCCGCGCCGCCCGCGCTGCTTGCTCGATGGTGTTGGCTGCTTGTGCGTGGCTGTGAAGGACAGAGCGGGGCTCGTGAGAAACATTTCCCACCTAGGTTTTCTCCACCAACTTCCTTTACTGTTGTATCCAGGGATGCTGGACTGCACCCTCTCAGGAAATGCAGAGTGTTTGCAAAAGAGATCCGTATTTTCCTTGTCCCTCCTGCGTCTCTCAAGAGTAGAGAAGCACCAGAGGGGAGGCAGATGCTGCCAGTTCCAACTGGACACACATGGGTCAAACTCTTATCACAAAGATGCTTCTAAATCACACCCAACTCCACCCTCAAAGGTAGCTGAGGACAACTCTATAGGGCAGCGAAGTCAGTCCAGCAGCTGCATCTTCCTCTGTTCCAGGGCTGGCACAGAGGCTTTGGCAGCTGCAGCCCAGTAGGTTCACAAGGACCCCCCAAATATTACCTTCTGGGCACCCAGTGGGATCTCAGTCCCACTCCCCTCTCTTTCTCATCTGATGGTGGGAGGAACTCACCTGTTGGCCAGTCTCAGAGCCTCCTGGGCCAGCATCAAGAACTGGTTTGAGCCCCCAGGAAGGCTTGAAACAGGAATGTTCTGAGGAGAGAGGAAGGCAAAGAGCTGTGAGTGCTTTTCTCTGCTCTCCATTCAGCTCGTCAGTGAAAGAGGCAACCGCAGTGTGTTAAACCCCCACCAGCCCCAAAGACCCCTGCCAGCACCTCTCCATGTCCAGGCTGCATGGAAAGGGCCACCAGAACATCTACACTCACAAAACAAACATAATATCTGGAATTCCTTAAATCCTTGCTCTCCCCATGCATTTTTTTTCCAGCCCTGAGCTAGACTAGGAGTGTGTCACATGCAGATGCTCTCACCGCCCGGCGGAGGGCAGCTCCACTGCTCTCCAGGTCCAGCCTCGCTCTCTCCAGCAGCTGCCGGGTCTCCTGCACCTGCCTCTCGTACTGGCTCCCGAGAGACCTCAGCCTCTCCACCGTTGCCTTGATCTCGCCCAAGCGGCTCTGGGAGCTGGGACCCTGCCCATTCATCCTGGTCACACGGCCTTCCAGAGACCTGTCAGAAGCTGGTGAGACAGAAAGAGGAAGGCTGAAGAGAAACTCATTACTAAGCAGAAGGGCACAGGCAGCAAAACTCTCCCCAACACAGCCCAGATGGCCCCATTCCAGGGCAGTGGGTGGGTGGTACCTTGCAGGCTCAGGGCTTCCCTGAGGATGGTCCGCAGCATCTCCTCAGCCACCTGCATTCTCCTCTCCAGCTCCTGGCTCTGGGCCCCACCACCAGCTTGCAGCCCTGAGAAAAGCAGCTCCAGCTCTGCCAGCTGCTGCAGGTACAGATCCACCTGCAACCACAGACCAGGCCATCAGTGAGCAGCACACCAAACCCACATGGAAAGACCAGGGTGGGAACCAGGTCCACAGTCCAGTCAGAGAAAGGAGAGCAACATGAGGGCCCATTTTTGGATGGAGCACAAGGGATCACTTCAGTGGGGTACAAAGCCAAAGTTCAAAATCACTCCTCACTTGAGGAGGACATGAGGAGACACTGAGGGTGAATGAATTGCTGCACCCCTTGCTGCTCAGGGGCCCTGGGACTGGCATAGATGCTCACCTGGGCTTTCACCTGGCTGTAGCAAGCCGGGCACTCACTCTCTTCACAGTTGGGACCCTCAAAGCCGGGTTTGCAGATGCAGCTCCCATCGCTCCTGCATTTCAGGGGCTCAGCACCAACTGAGTTGCAGGCACAGGCTGCAGGTTGGAGCAACACAGGTTCAAAGGAGTCTGTCCCCATCTCAAGCCTCAGCACATCTTTTCATCAACCCTCTCTCCCTGCTTTCCTCCCACCATTTAGCCTTGTGCTTTGGTTCCTGCTCTCTACTCCCACTTTCTAGCCTTGGCTTTTGTGGCATCCCCCTTCTCACCAAGCACTCAGGCACGGATTTTCCTACTCAAACAGTGCCCAGGTCTCACCTCTGCACTTGTCGGCGGGGTCGGGGGCCAGCGGGTTCCCGAAGAAGCCGTCCTTGCAGCGGTCGCAGTAGAAGCCGGCGGTGTTGTGGATGCACTTGAGGCACTCCCCGGTCTGGCGGTCGCAGTTCCCCACGGCGTTGGGCTCCACATTGCCGTTGCACTGGCACAGTTGGCAGGGCTGGGAAGCCACTGGGTCCCCAAAATAACCATCAGCACAGTACTCGCAGTTGTCCCCTGGGAAAGGAGAGATGAGACGCTCATGCTCGTGCCTGCAAGGCAGAGGCTGCCTCGCTGCTTCTGCCTCACAGAAACCCATCAGAGTTGGCATGACAGCATCTCTGCCCTCAGCACCACCACAGCACCACAGCCAACGCAACAGGCAGGCTCTCAAAAGCTGGGTGCAACAGCTGACATTGACTAAGTAATTTCCTATTTGGTTTTTTTCCCTATTTTTTATTCCCCTCCCTCTCCCACCCATCCTTTTTCCATCCACGTTGTGTTTAGATGAGAACCTCTCCTGGGGTGGGGCAATGTGTCTTCACAGCCCTTGGGGCTGAAGCACCCTGTCACAGGAAGGAGTGGCAGTGCCTCAGGCAAGCTGGGCAGAGAGGATGGGATGGATCCACCCAGCTCCAAGCACCCCTGCACAGAGAGTAGAAGCTCTGGGAAAAGGCAGAGCGGAAGCAAGAAGGGCATTACCAGCAGCTCCAGGAGGGCAGTGGTCACAGGTGACCTCCTCACTGCCTGGCACCACGGAGCAGCCCTGGCCATGGCCACAGGGGCAGGTCCTGCAGCCGTGTGGCTGCCGGGGGTCATGGTAGGAGCCGAAGGGGCAGCTGACACTGCTGCCCACATTTTCATCTCCAGAGTAGCATTCTCCTGGAGGAGGAAGGAAAGGGCTTAGGGAAGTTTACTCACAGCCCTGGTGGGACACCCTCCACCACTCCACCCACCGCAGCACACTCCAGCATCCTCCACGAGATATCTTAAGATTCCCACACCTGTCCATGCCATGCACCACATAAAATCATGGAGTGGTTTGGGTTGGAAGGGACCTTTAAAGGTCACCCAGTCCTACTGCCCCAGCGATAAGCAGGGACATTTTCAACTACACCAGGTTGCTCAGAGCCCCATCCAACCTGAGGCACTGTCAGGCTTAACTTTAAAACAAAAAGTCAGAAGAGTTTACTGCTATCAGGGCAGCAGGAGATGCTTTTTTCTCTCTCCAGTATGCATCATCTACACCCAATGTGATCCAAATGCATCTGGGTGCAGTGCTTCTAGGCTCTGGGGAGTTTTTCTAGGATGATCCCCCACATTCCAGCCCCCTGAGTCACAGAATCACAGAATCAATTAGGTTGGAAAAGACCTCTAAGATCATTGAGTCCAACCTGTGACCCAACACCACGACATCAACTAGACCAGAGCACCAAGTGCCATGTACAGTCTTTCCTTAAACGCCTCCAGGACCTCCACCACCTCCCTGGGCAGCCCATTCCAATGTCTGACCACTCTTTCTGTGAAGAAATTTCTGCAAAGTCAGTGCTCCTGACCCCCCCAGCTCAGTTCTTGGGACACAGGCAGCTGTCCTGCATTCCCACACACCCTACAAGCACTGCGTGGTGGCGGTGGCTCCTCTTACCAGTGTCAGGGTCACAGATTCCTCCCCCCTGGCAACTGCAGGGCACGCAGATGCTGAAGGGCCCTTGGCCAGGGCTGTCTCTGCGGTAGCCAGGGGCACATCTCTCACAGAACTGCCCCCCGTACGCTGCCGGGCACTCGCAGCGCTCCACCCACGGAGCAGGGACTCCAGGGATGGGCTGTGCCGACACCAGGGTGACATTGTCGATGTAGCCAGTGCCTGGAGAGAGGTACAGCCAGTCACCGGTGGGGGACAGTAGCTCCACCTGCAAGACCCCCACACCCAGGACCTGCTCAGGTAACACATCCTATTGCAATGTCCACAGGCAAATGGAACAGCCAAATCTGTTGCCACCTTGCTCAATCTCTTCATAATTTAACTTTGCCACCGTAGGGCACTTAATATCATTATTATTACTTTTACAATACCTTTTAGCAAAGGTGTCTCCAGCAACGAGGAGATGCCAACCTCGTGCTTGCAAGCTCTCCTCACACTTACTGTACTCCCCAAATGTGGCTCGAATCCAGAGGGCTGTCAGGTTTCCCAGCAGCCTGCGAAATTCCAAGTGATTCAGCCTCGGGCTCCACTTGCTGCTCGGGTGTTCATCCAACCTGCCGTGAGAGAGGGGAGAAGTGGAACCAGTTTCAGGAAAACAAGATGCCTCCACAAGAAAACGTGGTAGCCCTCGCCCATCCTGAGCTCAGGGCTTTGAGGAACTGACCCCCTGCAAGCGACCCCAAGCCAAGTACCCAGCCCAAACTCAAGCCAGATTTTCTACTGCCCCTCTCACAAAGTAACCCCTTTATCCAGGAGAGATGCCCCTGAGGTGGATCCAGAACAAACCAGGCAACCATCTGCCACCTCCAAGGGATCACAGCTGAATCCAGGAGCCATTCTTGCTCCTCCCTACCCCAAACACCCCAGCCTCGCCCTTTACCTGAACGTGTATGTATGGCTGACACCGCAGGGCAGGACCTCCCCCTGGGGTAAGAAGGGGGCAGTGACTCTCAGGCCATCTCCTTCCAGGATCACATCGTGTGGAGATGGCTGGAGTCCCCCTCGGTCCAGGCGGTAATCGAAGGAGAGCGTCTGACCGTAGCTCAGTTGCTGGTTCCCAAGGAATTTCGCTGCAAAGCAAAGGAAAGGAAAACTAAAGGCTTAAAATCTTGCCTTCCTCCTAAAGGCTCAGTTCATGGGATCAGACTAAGCAAAGGGTTCACTGTCACCTCTGCCCCCGGCAATGCCACACCTACCAGGTGCCACAAAGTATATGGGCTCCGATCTCCTCGCCGCTATGAAGGCATCCCGGTGGCGTGGGGACCACTGGAGCTGGGCTGGGGAGCTGCTTGCATGGACACCTTGCCAGCCCTCAGCACCTGGAGCACCAACAAGGAGCCATCAGCGGGGACAGGGAAAGTGTTTCCAGGACTCCAGCAACTTTCTTCAGCTGTATATTATCAAAGCCCTCCAGCTTCCTACCCCCAGCTTCTGAGGGGGTAGCACAGGTACCCCTGTGCCCACACATCTGTACAACTGCCCAGATGGGCACAGAGGCTTCCTCCAAGTGGCAGGGAAGACATGCTGAATGAAGCTTATGCTCCCCCAAACCTTACACCCTACTTCTGCCTACAATCAATTCATGCCACCCATCAAAGCAGGGGTGCTGCAGCCATGGGCAGGTTGGATGACGACCCAAGGAGCATGCGTAGCCTGGGGCTGACTCCCAGCAGGGCTGTGAACAAGGGAGCTCCTCCAGCACATCAAAGAGAAGGGCTGGCAAACACCCCCAGGAGTCGTGGGGATGTCCCGCTTGGGCTTCACCTTGCTGGAAGGTGGAGGTGATGTTGTGGACACTGTGGTTGTCCGCGCTGACACACGTAGCCGAGTGCCCATAGCAGAAGCAGGGAGAGCATCCCATGGGGTTTCTGGCATCCAAGTTGTAGAAGTGTCGCTTGCACCTGGGAAAATGCAAGAAGGTGACAAAGGTAGAGTTCATTTTCTCTTTTTACTGGTCAACATAAGCATTCTTTTAATGACAACTGTGCAACACAGCCATTGCCACAGGTCATCGCCAGGCTGAGATGGCAAGATGGGCATGTGCAAATGGCTTCCCACTGCCATAGGGCAAGGTTAGAAGGGATATTGGGAAGGATTTCTTCCCTCTGAGTGTGCTGAGGCCCTGGCACAGGTTGCCCAGAGAAGCTGTGGCTGCCCCGTCCCTGGAAGTGTCCAAGGCCAGGTTGGAGCTTGGGGCTTGGAGCAACCTGGGCTAGTGGGAGGTGTCCCTGCCCATGGCAGGGGACTTGGAATTGGGTGATCTTCAAGGTCCCTCCCAGCCCAAACCATTCCAGGATTCTACGATTCTGTGCACTGCCAGGGAGATGGAGGTCATGCCATGCAGTGGTGCGGCAGTCCCCTGACACCCACCTCTCACAGCGCTCCCCGGCAGCGCTCGCCTTGCAGACACAGCGGCCGGAGCGACAGTTCCCGGAGCTACCGGCAGGGTCACACTCGCACTGCAGGCTCCTGCAACAGGGACAGCAGCAACCTCGACCTGGATTTCCAGCTCAGCCTGGGAGCTCAGTGCCCCCTGCTATCATAGAAGAGAGCAGAGAAACACGCCCAGATACTATTCCCATGCTGGAAGGGGAAAAATAACCAGCAGAGCCATCTCTGTAAGGAAAACCTGCAGCGCTGTGGGTACCAGGCTGAGACTGCCCAGCACACCCCAGAGCACCTGACCCACTCACAAGAGCAACATGAAGCTCTGCTGAGCTTAATAAACCCTGGCTGAGTTTAACAGATCCAGGCTGAGCTCCAACAGGCAGCAGCGCCCCAGGGAAGCTGCAGAAGGCCAGGTACAGCAGCACAGCTGCAGGCAGTCCCCCTCACCCACACCCTTTGCCTGCCTGCGGCCCCAGAGGAGCAACAGTGAGGTGAGGTCAGGAAGAAGAGGACACAGCACTGAGGAAGTCAGAGAAGAAATGCTACTAAAGGTTTTTAAACAGGGCATCGTGCAAAGGAAGGGGTTTATTTTTGCAGGCACATCTCCTTGTGAGTGGCACCGACACCAGGCAGGCCCACAGTGGGCAGGTTCTGTTTTACATGGCCAAGCCTGGCTGTCACCTGTTTGGCATTATCTGGGTAATAAGACAATGTGCCTCAGTGTGTGGTTAAGCTCAGATTTTGGTGCTGTTGCAGGACAGTGAGCTTTTGCATGGAGGTCCAGCCCCGCTGGAGCCCATTCTCTCCCAGCAAGGTTGGCTCAAGGCCATCGTTGTGCTGCCACAAAACAAACTCTGCCCTTGCACAGGGTGTTTTCAGCCAGCTCGGGTGCTGGGAAAGCTCTGGGGGCCAGCCCTCCTGCTGTCTCCGTGCCACTGAGGGAGGTCAGCACTCACTGCCCGCTCCTCCGGCACCCGGCCTCGGACAGGGGCTCAAAGCCCGGCTGGCAGCGGTCACACTTGTCCCCCATCACGCCGGGCTTGCAGCTGCACCGGCCGTAGCTGTCACACTGTGTGCTGAGGGAGCCTGCGGAGAGAGGGGAAGGAGAGGTTGGGATGGGCCCAATGGGACAGGGGGTAAAGCACCACACCATCACTGCAGCAGCAATCCAGCCCCAGGGACAGGTCCCCACCTGAGATCCCCACACAGGGCTGAGACACCAGGTCTGGATGTTAAAAGTTGTTCCAGTCTCCCTGGGAGACTTGGAGGAGGTAAATCCCAGCAGGTATTGACCAGATGCCCAGGACAAGGATCCTCTTCCCTACTCTAAAGGTCAGCAAGAAGAAAAAGATGGAGTCTAGGGAATTTTTTCTTCTTTGCCAGACCCTCTGCTAGTTAGACATCACTGGAACTTGATTTTAGTGCCTTTACAAGGAACCCATGGGGCTGAGGGCCATGGCAGGATCTTTGGTTTCCAACCTACAGGCAGCTGTCCTGCTGCCAGGCCATCCTTGTGCCAGGAGAGCCGAGGGGATATGTGCCATTCCAACCCCTTAAAGCCTATTGCTCTGTCCTCTTGCCAGTTGTTTTTGATGTGCAGGTAATACTTCTAGTGGTCCTCCTGCACCAAGAGACCAACAGCCATTTCAAGTGCAAAGGTTGTAAACTCAAAGAGAGGAGGTTTAGATTGGACATAAGGAAGAAATGTTTTATAATGAAAGTGTTTGGACACTGGCACAGGTTGCCCTGAGAAGCTGTGGCTGCCCCATCTCTGCAAGTGTTCAAGGTCAGGTTGGACGTGGCTTGGAACAACCTGGGATAGTGGAAGGTGTCCATGCCCATGGCATGGAAGGAGATCATCTTTAAGGTCCCATCTGACCCAAACCTGTCTGTGAGTCTGTGATTATTTCAGAGGGCAGGTGGGTCTTGTAGCCTCTGGTCCGGTGTGTAGGGACCAGAGCCTTACCTGCCCAGGTGCTCCCCTACAGCCCTGAGCAGCCCCTGTGCCCTCGGGGCTGTCGTGCACGTACCCCAGGGGTGGCAGTGGCAGGGCAGGCAGCACTCCCGCTCCCGCCGTCGGAAGAACCCCTCCTTGCAGCGCTCGCAGCGGGCGCCCTCCGTGTTGCCCCGGCAGCCAAGGCAGCGGTACCCGTTCCCCGTCTCCCGCAGGAGCTGCCAGTCGAAGGCACACTGCCTGGACATCCCGTTGCAGTCGCAGACTGGGGAGAAGAGAGCAGAGAGACATCTCAAACAATGCTTAGAGATGAGGGTACCAGTTGTAAGTACCACCCTGAAGGCCAAGGAATAAGCCCAGGCGGTGCAAATGTCCCCTTCTCCTCTGCTAATGACAAGCCCTGTCCCCATGTCTCTGCTCTTGTTCCCATGTGTCTGGGTTCATCAGCCACCCCTGTGCCACCAGTGCCCACAGGGTGCTCCGCATCCTCACGCTGTGGAGCGATGTCCCTTTTCACTGCCAACATGGTTCAGGATGGACAAACCCCTCAAGCCAAGTATGGCATGGCCAGGGATGTCCTTCATCCTTTCACGGGACTTCCAATGAGGATTTTGAGTAAGCAAAGATGATTAAACAGCCCCCCAGATCTTGTCCTGAGGAAAGTATTGGGAACCTTACTGGAGACTTCAGGGAAAAGGGAAAGATCCCTGAGGTTGTGTTTTGTTTCACCCAGCCTCTGACCAGGCGTGAGTTCAGGAGGGAAAACTCAACCAACTTCGACCAAGTCTCCCCAGCCAGTTCTTCCATGCAGGGAGTGGCCTGTGATCCGAGGCACTTGGCAGAAGTATGCCAGCCAAGAGGGAGATCGGCAAGAAAGGTTTTGGCACAGGTCACCTACCTCAACCTCCCTGTGAAGAAAAGCTGCAGCTGCCCACATCGCTGCATGATGGATGCCAGGAAGAACAGGCATGAGACTCTGCCTCCCACTAGAGCCAGGACAGGCGATCCCTCTGGAGAGCAGACGGGCAGGTACCTCCCCAGACATGCCTGCTCCAGCACTCCCTTGCTTGTCCAGGTATTCCCTTGAAGGCACCTCTCATCTAAGGCCTCAGCAGCCAGTACTCAAGTGTTTAAGCCTGAGGACCTTTATCCCAGATGCATCTCTCAGTGCCACAGAGGAAAGCGAGCACAGCTGAGAGGATGGTTGGCAAAGACAGGTAGGAGAATGAAACACGCCAAGGGAAAAAGCCTCAGGGACCCCTCAGGGACGCAGAACCTACTGAGAAGGTGCTCTGAACCACCCTGATGCTGCCATGGGAGCCTCGACCTCCCTCTGAGGAACTCTGTCCACTGCTGGTCTCCTTGGGATAAGAAAGGTGGTCCCCAGCTGCCCACCTCCCGCTCAGGTCACCTCTGAGAGCACGGAGAGGTGGAGGAAGTCCAAAAGCAAGCAGAAACCTGCAGCATGGATGCAGACAGCACCCTGTACTTGACACACACAGAGGCTCCTCCTTCCCAGTGCTCTTCTGACACAGCTCAGCCCCAGGATACAAGGTCCCTGTCCCTCTGCATCTGTGATTCCCAGCACCAGGCACAGGCTCCTGCGCCCAGTGCTCACAGCTGGGCGCTGCCCTCCCTCCCTCCCACACACCCATCGGCACCCACATTCCAGACGGAGGCACTCAGCCCAGCCTCTGCCAAGAGCAGAGGTGACCTCATGCACCAGCAAACAGGGAGAGAGATTTTTCCAGCTCTGGCAAACATGGCTCTTCCCTCACAGCCTGGCTGCCAGGAGACCGAGATTCAGCTACAGCTGGGAGGGGACCTGTGGGCACAGAAGTCCTTTCCCCAGGGCGTGGGAAAGCATCCCCAGCCTCAGTGGGCATCACCAGTGACCCAAGGACATGGACAATACAGACCAAGAGCAACAGCATGGGACTTTCTCAAGGTCTCTGTGCTCACCTTCACCGTGGGAAGATCCCACTTGGGGTTGATCCCACTCCCATCCCTCCACACTGCAGTGAGATCTCAAGTTGGAAGGGACCCATAAGGATCTTTGAACTGAACTCCACCCACGCATCACCCTACCCTACCTCTATGTAATCCGGAGGATTTACTGGGTTGCTAAATTACAGGCGTGAGCACTATTCCCCCAGGGAATGAAAACCTTTTTTCAGGTGTTGCTCTCTGGCTGCAGCACGTTAGGAGCCAGTTCTCCTGGCACAGACTCAGGTCTCACTAATCCAAAGCCATTTGAGATGCTGCGGCAGGTTAGTGCCATCACCCCACCAGTGTGGCTGCTCCTGGTCTTCTCTTGGAAACCTGAGAGCTCAGACAGGCTAATCCTTATCAAGAGCAAGAGGTGGAGCACGTAGGAACTGCTGGAAAATGAGGACCAACTGAGGACAGGATCATTTCTATATCCAGGTGCCCTGAGGCTCTGCTCTGAGATCATCCATGCAAAAGAGCAGGCTCCCTAGAGAAGCTTTGCAACTGGATTTCTTCAGTGCTACGTCAGGATGCAGGAGGTACATGGAACGCATCCAGCAGGACATCATTCCCCCTGCTCCCACCCAGTAGAATAAAGCATGAAAAATGCTTGATTGCTGTGATGAGATGAATTCCCACATCAGAAAGGCTTGGAGAAGGAGACATGCAGCTTCAGGCCTCTTAAACTGTCTTCTTAAATTCACAAAACCAGAAAATGAGGCAGGGTCTGAGTGGAGCAGATCCAACAGTGCCGTACACAAGCCAGCCTACAAAGATCCCTCCTTCCATCAGGAGATCAACAGAGCTTTGCATGCAATGAAGCCTCCACATCAACACAAGCCATTCCCTGCTCCATGCTCTTGGGACAGCAACCCAGAAGGCTGTCCAATCTGCTGTCCAAGTCTGGGTATCCCCATTGCCCAATTCCTTTCTCACTGCAGGAAGACCTGCCTGGAGCTCCATCAGCATTGGCAGGGACATACCCCACACCAGGAGCCAAAACCCGCTGTTTGGTGCCTTCTGCTTTCTAACACCCTGAGTTAAACACCTTGTTGGTGCGATGGAGCTCTGACCTCCATATTCCAGTTCTTCCCTGAACCCTGGGAGATCTCTTCAGCCATCCTGTGCTGCCACACACAAGACTCCACAGGGATCAGAGTACAAGTGTCCTGACTGCTGCTCTGCTGGATCACACCTGAACCCAGTTTGACTTGAGCACTTTGCAGGCAAAACAGGATTACATGGGCTAATTACAAGCCCATATCTAGAGCTGGGACTAGAGAGAGCACAGGAGACTAAATTACACCACCAAGCCCCCTCAGAAAATCTGCTGCAGCATAAAAACATGGCTGGTATCAACCATCACTTTCACACACACACAGAAATAGGTTCAAGAGTCCATGGAAAAGGAGCAGTTTCCCACATACTGCCAGGAAGGAGGAAGAAAGGAACCTACGCCAGTATTTTTAAACTTACACGTAATTAAGGCTGATGTAATAATTAACTCAAGTAGCATGTAAAGCAAAATAGGTCTTTTTTTTTTTTTTTTTAGAAAAAAACCTAAACCAAAACATTTATTCAGCACTTATTACACCCCTGTTGCACCACACTTAAAACTGATAAAATCCAACTTCAAGCCCAGTAGCGTTCAGAACACCAGTAATGCAGAAAAAAAAAGAATTAAAATCACTCAGTATTTACAAAATATAAGTGAAAACCTGATTTTTGCCAAACATACTATAGGCCAGTAAAACTGAAACCCTGCTATTGAATTACCACTGGGCTGGACATGCTCAAGCCTCCCTGCACTACACTCTCTGCTACAATTGCACTCCCGAGAGGATCTGCTGGATTTTGGAAGCTCATCATCAGTCCATGGACCACAGGAGACTCGTCGTCTCCCACGGGGTGCAGCAGGGCTGTGGGCACCTTGTGAGCTCCACGGACTTGCACAAACTCCAAACATGACCATGCTGCTACATCAAACTGGGTCCTGGATGCTTCCAGCTCTTCTCCGGGCTTGGGGAAGGTTTTGGTTACAGCAGCGACCGCCTGGGCGATGCTCATGCTCACACCCACATGCCACCCCAGCAGCAAGGCTTCATACAGAGAGCAACAACGTAACTGCACATAAATAACTTACTGAAAGGGATGCCAGTGAAAAAAACAAAGTCAAAGTGCTCATGGGATATTCAGCCCTGGAGGAAACGCTAAGCCCAAGGGCGGGATGGCAGAGCGCCCTGGCAGGGTGCTGTGCTCCCAGACAGCTCCCAGTCACCGGACCGGAGAGGCTGCGAGCGCGCCCGCACGTCCGAGCGGGACCAGCCGACCTTGGCGAGGCCTCACCTTCTCCTTGCTGCTGGGCTCCCGGGGGCCGCGGCAGCAGGGCCGCGGCCAGGCAGGCGAGGGCAGAGCCAGCGCCATGGCATGGCTCGTGCCGGAGCCCGGGGCGCCGGTCCGGCGGGATCGCGACCAGGGCTGCCCGGTGCCTTGTTTGCCCGTGTGTTTTTTATCGGCTGCTCCACCTGAGTCACTCCCAACAGGAAGGAGCACGTGTGCCGTGGGCTGACTCACCGCGAGCGGGGAGAGCCCAGCCCAGGCAGCGCAGACAGGAGCCCGCCCCATCCACAGAGCACCCCGAGGAGCTTCTGCCTGCACCCTCCTAGGGCTGATAGCTCATGGGTAGGGGAATAAAATATACCTGCAGCCCCTGCGGACGCCCCTCCTGCCCGTCCCACTCGCCCACCTCCATCCCACCCGCCCTTGCTGCCTCCGCGGGCAGGGCACCGGGGCTGGCTGGGGAGGGCCGGGCTGCCCGGGCACGCAGGCGGCTTGCAGGGAGCGAAATGAAACACGATGAGCTCACAGGAAGCCTGGGGAGGGTGGATGGGGACTGTCTGCTCGCAAGCCAGGCCCAAGTCAACCAACCTGCAAGAGCAGGGCTCATTTCAGGTGACCAGTGGGACTGGTGATGCAAAGAGATCCCCAAGGACAGCTTGGAAGTGCTCAGAAAGCAGATCGATAGGGATTTACCTGATAAGTGTCAAGTTCAGGAAATCCCCAGACCTAGAAATGGGGTGGAGGCGGGAATTGTCACACACATTTACCTGCTTTTGCTCCCAAGGGGAAAATGGTTAGATGGGTCCTTGGGTTCACCTAGTGCATCCACTTTTGTGCTAGGAGGAGGATGAGGAGTGGAGACAGAGAGGGGAGAAAGCTTGTCTGAGGCTGCTGCTGGAACCAGCAGGAGGATACCAGGCTCCACAGACCCAGGTCCCTTAGCACTTTGTTCTAAAGGGTAGCCAGCAAGCCAAACAAGGCATGAGAGACAATTCCACCTTGTTCGTCACCTTCGCCTTGCAGGAAGGACATGAAGACTTCTACAGGAGAAGAGAGAAATCTGGAGGCAGGAGTCCTCCTCATCCTGCATACACCAGGATAAGTGAAAACACCGGCACATCCACCTGAGCTGCAAAAGCAGCCCACCAGGGGATCACAGGAAGGATGGGCCCTCATGTTCCCCTACTTACTGCCACGGGACACCTACTGTGACAACTGACTGCAAGTGGTCCATGAGCACCTTTAGATGGAATGAAGACACCTAACAAATCTGGCCCTTTTTAGATCCCCTTCTCCATTAGGGATTCAAACTCAACCCGAGGCGCTGCCATGCTGCTCGTTTCAGAGCTGACAGACCCAGGTGATTAATACTGAGGTCCTAGTCTGAGCATCTTACACAGCCCTACAGCCTCCAGACACTCCAGACACCTGGAGCTGACTCAGAGGGCTTTCCTCTGTGCCTCCTGGTGATCTCATGGGCACAGCCAGCCTGAACTCACCACATCTCTGCACCTCCCTTCACCGGCTGTACCTGCCTCTGCTGATTGAGTCAACTCGCTTTTATAAACAGGCGGTTTCCTTTTCATTTCACTTGCTGGATCTTAATATAGCCCACAACAAGGAAACCAGCTCCCCGAATGCGATGATGGCACGGTGGGTTTTGGCACCCAAGGTTGTTTTATCTGGTTTTTATTATTTTTTTTTAAAGTGGGATAAAACTATTTATGGTGTTCCCACCAATTTAGCAGTTTTTAGGATCCACCTATTCTTTTAAGGAAACACAATCCCTTTTGCTCTAAAGTACCTCACTTACCTGAAACACCTCTCCTGTGTCCTTCCTACCGCTGACACCCCTCCGCTCAGGAAGCTCATCTCCTCCAACAGCATGTAGTGTACAGCAGTTCCCTTGGACCTCACCTAGCCCTGGGCTGACTTCTCTTTTAGAAAACCAGCTCTTGCCATCAGGAAGCTTTTCCCTTATCTGTCTCCTCCGTGTTATCCATTCTATCTCACTGTTACCACCCCACCTCTCACCCCACCGTGCAAACAAGGCCCTGACACAGCTTGCTCCTCAGTCATTTCTGCATATTTACTTAGGTTACTCTTACCTTGTCATCCTCTGCCGTCCCTCAGGATCACCACAGGAATGTGTGCCTCATCTTCCTTCAAGATCACCTCTGAAAACCACATGAACACATGCCATGAGGCCACCAAAAAATGTATTTTTTGGGGCCCTGATTTTCTGGTCTGGAACAAACAGCTGCCCACCACCCTCCACAGAGCAAACGTCACCCATCACAACCCATTGCTATGGCAGCACTCTCCAGAAGAGGTCTCATATAAACATAGTTAACAGAAATATTACCTTTAGAGTGAGCAGAAGCCTAAGCAAAGGGAGGCATGAAGAGTAGTGGTGCTCATCACACACTGCAATGGAACAGTTTTTCTTCACTGGAGAACCTGTGTCTTTTAATCTGCAACACAAGAAAATATTCTGTGTTCATTCACAATGGAGCCAAGGAAGTGCTACTGTAGGGGCTCACAAGTTCATCAGTCCTCGAGGATGTGGCCATGGCAGAATGAACAACTCCAAAGACAGTCTCAATCTCCATAACAATCTGAATTTTGCTGTTCGCTGCAGGTGGCAAGTAATAAGGTGTGTGAAACCCCCGAAGCGATAGTTTTATTGATGTAACTAAGGGAAAAAAAACATTTTGGTGGCTCATGACAGATAAACACCATGATGCTGCATGTGTCCTTGCAACCTTGGTGTCCCCATGCTGCCCTCTACAAGAGACCATCTGAGCTGCAACATTCTCCAGGAGGAAATCCTCTGGGATTTCCTCAGCGTGGAAAATCAGGGATCATGATGTGCCGGCATCACCAAATGCCAGTGCAGTGACAGAGCCCGGACTTCAGTCTCTCCTCAGCCAGTTGGGTGCCCTGGGAAAAAGTCCTCATGTCAGCCAGAGCCACCTGAAGCAGAGGCTCCACCGGGATGGGCAGAGGCAGGCAGGAAGCAGGCAGGAAGCAGGCAGGGACACCGGGGATTACGGTGAGCAAGCAGGGCAGGGCAGCAGCAGCAGCACAGCAAGGAAGTGCCATCACACCTGGCCATGCTTCGCCTGTGCCCTGCCCCACCAGTGAGGGGTGACACACACAGGGATGAGGGAAGGCATTTCCATCCAACTGCCCCCCAAGCCCAGACTCAGTGGGGTATTTTTTTACATGGCATTCCTGATGTTTCTGGGATGGGGACACACCCGAAGGTATCGGGCCAGCAGCCAACCAGAAAGATTAACTAACCAGAATGTGGCCCAACATGTCAGATGGGCAGCACAGAACACTGCCAGCTTGGGGTGACAGCTATATGTCCTCTCCATCCTCAGATCCACATGGACACTACAGCCGCGTCCTCCAGGCAGTTGTTCGCAGCACTTCTTAACTTCTAACAAGATACAATAAAGGGCACAGACTTGCTTCCTGAGTATTTTAGCCCCAAAATGGTAAGAGGCTCCATGTCAACCTACAGCTCATGCAAGGTCAGAACCATCCCACCACCCAATTCTCTGCTCCTTGACTGCTCCCTACAGTCCAGCTGAAACCTCAGACAGATTTTGCCAGCTGGAATTTGCCCAACAGCAGTCAGTACTGGTTAAAAAAAAAAAAAGTATTTTAGAAAACAAATTCATTAGTGGCAACTGCAGAATAAACAGTTCAAAGCTGACAAACTGAAATACAAAAATTAATGAGAAGAATTTACCAGCTGAGAAGGGATTAGCTCTGATGCAAGTTAATGAGATGTGCATTTTCCTCTGCTGAGAAAAATAACAGAAATCCAGCTGGAGATGTAAGACACGTGTGACTGCAGAATGGCCTAGTCTGTTATCACTGTAATCCGTCCTTACAAAGTTACTTAACTCAGGAATAAAATTTATCTCAGGCTCTGGAAGACAGGATCCAGGAACAACACAGTGTCCAAACTTATGGCAGTTCCTAGTGAGAAATTTCAGCATCTTTTTCAGGGTTTTAATTTTTCTTCCCAGGAGCTCCATCCTTTTCCACATGTTCAGCTAAAAGGATTTTACCCTTACAGTGTAAAAGCACATCCCAATTCCCCAGGGCTTTCCAGGAGGACAGTGCAGCTCCAACAGCATCAGCACTAGCAGCATAATCTTATTAAGTCCTGGAAAACCAGCAGCTTAAAATCCATCATAGCTTAAAATCCATCCATCATTGCCACATGGCAATGGAGCAGTGGACACGGGGGAAACCATCATCCCTGTGGCCACCTGCACCCACCAAATGCATTTCCAAGTTTCTTGTTCCTTTTTCCTCCACCCTAAAACAGGTCACCTAATTAAGCGAGAGCTGAATCTTGCAACTGAGACACATCCCCATCAATACCCGCTCCCCCTACCCCAAAGAAAAAAAAGCAATACTCAAAAGAATGCCAAGGTATAAGGGGTTACAAATATTCAGACTTTATTATAAATAAGAAATACTGTTTTATACATAAAAACTGCAAGTGTTGCATTTTGTTCACCACCCCAGACAGCAAGACCACAGATTAAGGCAAAAAAAGCTGGAGTGAAGGCACGTACTGAGGGGGCCACAGTCAGGAACAAGGTGATGAAGGGACTGACATCCAGCACTCCACCAGCAGCTGTCGCGTCATCACATTACGTAAAGAAATAACTGGACTTACACAATGATTAATGGCTGTAATGCAGTAGTGATTAAGAGATCGCTTATAAAGATTTTTTCTCTTATTTAAAAATAAAATTCTGTTAAAAACAGCTTAAGGAAAAAAAAACCAAGAAAAAAAACCAAGAGAAGAAAGCCTTAGGCCTGAGGTCAGCCAGGGCATGTGCGCATCTTTGCATCTGCTCTTCCCACAGCCTTGGCAGAGGTGACACGGTTACAGCCATCTGACCAGAGCAGCCAGCGAGCCAGCAAGCTCTCCTCCAGGTGTGTTTGCAGGCAGGAGGGAAATCCCAAGCTGGTAAATGCCAGAATCTCTAAGGGAAGGGGTACAAGAGCGGGATTTGCTGGGATCACCCCCCGCCCAGCAGTGCCATCCC